GCAAGCACTTATTCCCCTGAGCTAGCTCTCCAGCCCAAAAGGTTTAAAATTGACTGTGGTCACACATATCAGGGAATAGATTAAAAATCACTGAATCATGTACCATAAATGGAAGAACTACATGATATGCAGTTTATATCACAATGAAGCTGTTTTTTAAAAAACAAGTAGAGGTAAGAGGAATCAGTGCAAAGCTGCTCTGAGAGTGAAGTCTACTCTAGGAATGCCAGAGACATGATGGTGGGGACAGTGATCTGGAAGAAAAACTCAGGAGAAAGAAATGGCAGCGGTTGGACCTGAGAGTGGAGCCCAGTGTCACAGCCAAGCGCCTGTTTATATAACTGGACTGATGCCAGTCACTAGAGAATAAAAGCAACAGATATGTACATGGCGCTTTCCCAAGCGCTTGGCATGTAATAATTCAGTCTTCAACAACTTTGTTAAGTAGGTATTATTATTTTTGTTTTATGAAACAGAAAGGCACACAGGAGTTAAGTAACTTAGCTAAAGTCTGACAGTTTCTAAGTTCAAACCTGTATTCTGGCTCCAAAGTCTCTCTCCCAGGCACAGTAGTATGTTGCATCTCCCACAGTGGAAAAGGGCTAGATTTGCACAGTACACTTCCAAATTCAATACAAATAACAGTGACCACATACTATATATGTGCTAAGGTGGTGCCTAAAGGCAACCTCTCCCAACATATTCCCACTATGGCACTTTAAAAACCCAGGACTGCAGCCACAGGCCCGAAGCAGTCATAAATTGTCGGCTCCGCCCGCCTCACCCCATTCTAGCTTCAGTTCTCAATGCTTCAGTCTTTTCTCACTGGAGAAGGACTGGGTTGGGCAGGGTTGGAGCAAGAGACCAGCCCAGCAGCACAAACTTGTTTCCAGAGAAGTGATGGGAAAAGCCACAGGAAACCCTCATGAGGCAGGCAGCTGGGAAAGGCAAACCTGGTTGGGCTCTTCATCCAAAGGACCTCACCTCAGCCCATACTGGCATCAGAAAAGGAACTCCCACCAGTCAACCCTGAGTCATTCATTCCCCTCCCATCCCCAAGGAAGGGGTGGTTTCCTGCAGGCCCCTCTGGGCAGCTCAGGCTCCTCCCAGGGGCTGTCCACCCTCTTATCTCACCTCAGGACCTCCCTGGGACAAAGCAGAAGCTGGCTGTAGTGAAGCTGGCCCTCCTTTCAGCAGCAGGCCTTGGATTCAGGACTGAGAGAAAAGCCAGCAGCCTAAGTTTTGGCAGCTCAGAGCCAGGATGTCTCATTGAGAGCACAGAAGAGGAGGCAGAAGCTAACTGGATTGGGCCCTTGCAGAACTGGGGCTGTTACTGGCAACTGTTGGTCCTTTTCCCACTGACTCGCGTCACACCCCTCCTGATCCCTGTTTTGGACTCAGCCTCACACTTGGGAGAGGCTCGTATGGGCCCTGTGCTAGATACATAATGTTAAATGATAAATAGCTACAGAGTGGTCCTAGTCAGAGGTGTTAATGCAGAGATTTTAAAAAAAAGGCTTTAGCTGGGGAATGTGGTGTACACTTAAAGTCCTAGCTATTTGGGAGACTGAGGTAGGAGGCTCACTTGAGTCCAGGAGTTTGAGGCCAGGTAGGGGAATATAGAGAGATCCAATTTCAAAAACAAAGAACAAACCAAACCAATCAAGACAGGCTTCGGCATCCAATAGACCTGAGTCCAGATCCTAGCTCTGTTCCTCAGCAATAGCTTTGACAACTCACGTGTTCCTTCTAAGCCTTAATTTTCTCTTCCAGAGAATGAGGACAAGGCACCCCAAAGTCACCATGGGACAAAGCAAGAGAGACACCAGTTAGGGAAGATATTGCAGTAACCTGTTGTGCACGAAGACAATGGGAGTGGAGGGGCAAAAAGTGTTTACATGCAGGGTACGTTTTGGAGGGAAGATCTGGCAAGTCTTGCTAATTAATTGGACATAGGGTAAGAAATAGGAACTAAGGAGTACTGAGGCATGGGCCTTGAGCAATGAGTAGGTGGAAGTGCCATTGACAGAGGTACACAAGAGCAGGAAAACAAAACACAAGTTTAACAGTGGGAGCCAGAATTGAGAATTTTCTTTTGGCAGAGCATATCGATGCAGGTTGGTAATCTCATCTACTCAGGAGGCTGAGAAAGGCAGGTTTGAAACCAGCCTGGGCAACATAGTAAGAACCACCTCTGAGAGAGAGAGAGAGAGAGAGAGAGAGAGAGAGAGAGAGAGAGAGAGAGAAGATTGTTGTGTGTTCTTCAAGACCAGCCTGGGCTACAAATTAAGTTCAAGGTCAGCCTGAACTGCATAGTGACATGCTATCTCAAATACATACACACAAAGATTTCTTTTCCTTCCTTCCTTCTTTCTTTTATTTTTCTGGATTCAGGGTCTCACTACTATTTATTTCTCCAGCTCTGCTCTTGATCTCATGGCCCTCATGGGCCTCACTCAACTTGGACAGTTGTGGTGGTACATACCTGTAATCCCAGTACGTGGGGGTCGGAGGGCAGGAGGATTGCTGGGAGTCCAAGGCCTGCCTAGACTACATTGCAAGACCTTGTCTCAAAACAAATTTTTTTAAAAAAAATCATCCTAAATATAAGTGGAGACACCAAGTAGGCCATTGGTTATCCAAATCTGGAGACCAGGGAGAAGTTACAATTGGAGATATTAATTTTGATATCATCAGCATTTGCACAGCATCCAAAGCCATAGGCTACATGAATATTAAGGTGTGTGTCTCTCTCACATCTTTGACAAAGAGTCAGCAGTACTTGACTGGGGGTTGGAGGGAGGACATCCAAAGTTGTACTGTTGGTCTTTTTAGTTCTGAGAGCTAGTAAGGCAGAGGACAAACCTAACCCAGAGACAACTTGCAGAGAAATTGGTGGCAGAGAAACTTAAGACTTCTCAGGAGGCGGAAGGACTTCTCTCTACCTACCCCTTACTTTCTAAAATTGTTAGTAAAACTAATTCAGAAAGAGGAAGAGAAAAGATTATTGAAGACACTTACTCTATAGAGCCAACAACCACAGCCCTCACTAATGCTACAGGGCTAACTGTGGAGTTAATGTGGCTGTTCACACTCCTCCCCTGAATCCACTCTTCCCTGCACTCACAAAAGTCAGTGCTCCCAGAATTGGTACAGCAGCCATCTGTGGCTCAGCACACCTGGGAAGAGACCAGGGTCTCCACAAAAAGATCATGCCTTCTGCTCTGCTACTAACATGGGAAGACAAGAACACGCAGAAGAGCTGCAGCCAGGTGTCCTCAGTTCTGAGCCAGCCAGGTAAGGAAAGTACTGAGGAAAAGCGTGTTCTAAAATGGAATGTGTCATGGAATTATCTGGGCATTTTGGTGAATGTAGGTTCTGTTTTAGTAGGTCTGGGGTGGAGCCTAGGATTCTGCCTGCTTGCCTGCTTGCTTTTCTTTCTTTCTTTCTTTCTTTCTTTCTTTCTTTCTTTCTTTCTTTCTTTCTTTCTTTCTCTTTCTTTCTTTCTTTCTTTCTTTCTTTCTTTCTTTCTATTTGTTTGGTGTTTTTTGGTGTTTTAAGACAGAGTCTGGGGGGGGCGGGGAGATGGCTCAGTAGGATAAGTGCTTGACTGGCAAACACAAGGATCTGAGTTCAATCCCCGGTTCCATTAAAAAAAAAAAAAGAAAAGACAGTGTCTCATTGTGTAGCCCAGGTTGGGTTTACACTCCTGAGCCTCCTGCCTTAGTCTCTCAATTTCAGGGAATACAGGGGTGTGGCACCACAGTCAGCTGGAACTCTGCATCTCTAGCAAGCTCCTGTTCTCTGTGGCTGCTGTCTACAGATACTTTTAGAAGATCAGCCCTGGGCCACTGTGGAGGCCACCCACAAGAGTGGGACATGTGTTTATGTACCTACCATCTATCATGATTGTGAGGCAGTTGTTTCTTGGCAGATTTCACTTCCAGGAGCATAGTGTGGCTGTTGAGTGCTTGGGTTCAAACGTTGATCTCCAGCGCTTTACCTTTAGGAGATAGGTGGTCTTGGACAAACCTTTAACTTCTCTGCACTTTGGTTTTCTCATCTTTATAATGGAAATAATAAGACTATTTTGAGGACTGAGTCAAAGGTACAAAGTACTTAACACGTGGCAACGCAGTAAATGTTGCCTTTCTTGGTGGCAGCTGTAATGGTTAACACAGATACGCACTCACTTAGTCTCTTTTTCTGGTGCGCAATACATATTCTCCCACCTCCCTCCCACCAAAAGTCAGATGTCTCCTCTTTCATCTCCCTCCTACCCTCCAGCCCACTCCCCCTTCCCTGGGCCCTGGCCCCAGTGTGGTCTGGATGGGCCCCAGAGGGGCAGGGACAGGGACAGGACGTGGGGCTGTATCTGACAGGAACCTGAGGGGCTGGCCTGGGAGGGGATTGGGGCCCGGCTTCCTGAAGGGAGGATGGGCTAGGGCAGGCACAGTGCCGGAGAAGATGCCCTCTTGGGCCCTCTTTGTGGTCACCTCCTGCTTTCTCCTGGCCCCCCCAAACCTGGCACAAGTCACCAGCCAAGGTGAGGTGCACAGAGGGTGGAAATCACCTATGCCCAGGAAAAGGAAGCTCTTGGAAGGGATGCAGGTCCTTGGGAGGGGATGTAGGGTAGCAGGCCTCCACACTCCCCTACTCTTGCCCGTAAACATACCTGGGAGGACCCAGAACACAACTCACCAGCTGTTCTTCAGATGTCTCCTTGCTGGCTTCGGACTCAAAGCCCCTGAACTGTTTCTCCCAAACATTCGAGGACCTCACTTGCTTCTGGGATGAGGAGGAGGCAGCACCCAGTGGGACATATCAGCTGCTGTACGCTTACTCGGGGTAGGTGCTGGACTGTGCCCCACTCCCTGTATATCTGTCCCTATTCCTCACTCAGCTGAGTCCCACTTTGTTAGATTCCCTGTGTTTGGCCTTGTCAGAGGACTATTTCAAATCTACGCCCTAAATAGCCACTTTGTGAACAGTCCCCCTTAAGTCCCTATGTAACATGAATCCCACCTACCTCAAGCAGTAAGAAGAAGAAGCAGATGGAAACAGAAGTTGGGAATAGGCCACAGCCAGGTTCTCAGGGCTGAACATGGGGACTGCATAGGCAGGATGTCTCCTGTATCAACAGAGAGAAGCCCCGTGCCTGCCCCCTGAGTTCTCAGAGCGTGGCCCCCTCTGGAACCCGATACATGTGCCAGTTTCCAGCCCACGATGAAGTCCGCCTCTTCTCTAAGCTGCACCTCTGGGTAAAGGATGTGTTCCTGAACCGGACTCTGACTGAGTGGGTGCTGTCTGTGGATACTGTGGGTAAGGGATCTTTGTCACTCTACTCCCTCCTTTTGAGGTCTGCAGTACAGTTCCTGGAATCAGACTTGTCTGCAATTTTCTTTCAGGCCAACATGAGCGCCCCCATCAGACCCCCAAGAGGCATCTCAAGATCCCCTTATCATCCCTGCCAGACTCCTCTTCCAGAGCTAAACTTATCCCATAAATCATTTCACACCAGGGACCGCCTAATCTTCCCGTCATTACCATATTTTTTTATTCACCCATTCCAGTTACAGAATACCTACTGTGTGCCAGGTACTGTGGCAGGTGATGGGAAAACAGAAATGAAAAGAGGTCCCTGCTTTCAAGAAGCATGGAGTCTAAAAACCATTGCACTACAGATAGTCCCTGTTCTCATGAGGAAAGAATAGGCTAAAAAGGCTTCCTCCCATGGGCGGGGCTCCTACAGGCTGGGTTCCCACATGCTGGGATCCCAAAGTCTGCACCAATTCAATGTCCAGCAAACTCAGCCATCCACAGGTTGAATCATAGTCTGAGTTCTTTTGTGGAGGGAACCAGGGCTCAAACTCAGGACATTGCACTTGCCAGGCAGGTGTTTATGCTGATGAGCTATCTCCCCAGCCCTATAATCTGAGTTCTGATGTGCCTTGTCTTGCCCTCAGGCCTGCCTGCTCCCCCCAGTGTCATCAAGGCCACGGGTGGGAGCCAGCCAGGACAACTTCACCTACAGTGGGAGGCACCAGCTCCTGAAATCAGTGACTTCCTGAGACACGAACTCCGCTATGGCCCTGTGGACTCTGGGAACACCACAGACCCCAGAGTCATGCAGCTGCTCCGTACAGAGACCTGCTGCCCCACTCTGTGGAGGCTGAACCCAGCTTCTGCTCTGGACCAGCCTCCATGTGTTCTACCCACAGCACCCCAACAAGATGGCCCAAGGCAGACTTCCCCAACTAGAGAAGTATTCTAACATTGTTCTGCTTTGCCTCCTATCCCTTACCTTCAATTTTGCCTGTACTTTGGAGATTCTGGGTGGGGTTATTCCCTAGGGAATTAGGACTGCCTCTGGGCATCCCTCAGGAGCCACCTCTAAGGGTCTTTCACCTTGGGTCATTTGCACTGACAAATGAGGACTTCAGGCCTCCAAATGGATGGAGACTTTGCTAAAAACCCCTGAACACCACTCCATACCCACTGACCCGACCCTCAGTCTGTGTATCAAGTAAGAAACTGACCTTTGCACAGAGGTATAATAAGGCTCCAACTATAAGAGGCAGAAGCTTCCTTGGCTAGAGGGTGGCCTCGATTCCAATGCTAGGACTTTTCTCCCAAGGCTCCTTCTCCGCCTGTGATGGGCGGAAGCTGCCTTATTTCCGGACTCCTGCCTGGCCATTCTTACTGGCTCCAGCTGCGCAGCCAACCAGATGGAATCTCCTTTAGTGGTTCCTGGGGACCCTGGTCCCTCCCCGTGACTGTGGACCTGCCTAGGGATGCAGGTGAGTCAGTGAAGGAGTTGAGGAGATGGAGAAGAGATTTTAAAAGACATCTAAGGAAGTTTAGCCTGGATGTGGAGGCTTTGGGAACCATGGTCTTTCCTGGTGACCTCCAAGTTGCCATTACACAGGACAAAATATGCCCAGAAAAAGAGTTGTAAATGGTTCATTATGTATAAAAATGATCTGGGTTCTCCGTAGTGTGGGGACACATGGCCCTGATGGGACTGACTTCTTTACCTCAGTGGCAATTGGGCTGCAGTGTTTTACCTTGGACCTGATAAACGTTACCTGTCAGTGGCAGCAGCAGAACCACACCCGATCCCAAGGCTTCTTCTACCACCACAAGGCCAAGTGCTGCCCCAGAGACAGGTAAGCATTTAACTCCAGGTTGAGTTCGATGTTATGAGAGAGAAACATAAATCTGTAGACGGAAGGAAAAGATTACTTCACTCTTCCTAACTTGTTCCCAAACCAAATGGCCTCTAGGTTCTGTAACATACCCTCCAGTGAGTTTTTGTCTTCTCAACCTCTTTCCAATCCTCCCGGGAATGCCTTGGTTTAGTTCAGCCCTAGCACAGCTCCTGCATCAGTGCAACAGCCTCAAGTCTCATTCACCTCCCATTTATTTCCTATGCTGAGAACCCCAAGTGACCTTTGTTAAACTCCAATGGCACATGGTTTTTATGGAACTAGCATTACATGGTCTTTCCTTCCTCATGATCTACAATCTAGTAAATTCATACAAATATAGCCTGGCCTTCAAGGACTTCTGCCAAACACCTCGCTGATGCTTCATCCTCTCTGAAGCTAATCTATTGACCAGTCACGTTATTTAAAGATTTCCAGAATCTGTTCACTTTTGCACAGCGCTGTCATTCCTCTGGTACACAGCATTGGCATCTTTCACTTAGGCCACTGAAGAAACCCATTAGCTGATCACCTCCAAAATACTCTCCTGCGTAGGAGCTGGTAAGATCTTTTCAAAATGTGTAAATAAGCACACTTCCTGTTTTGAAATTGTCCATCATTTCCTAGTGGCCTTAGAATAAGAAAAGAAGTCTAGGCCAGGCCGGGTGGTACACACCTGTAATCCCAGCATTCGGGGAGCTGAGGCACAAGATTGCCATGAGTTTGAGGCCAGCCTGGGCCACATAAGCAAATTCAAGGCCAGACTGCACTACATAGCAAGATTCTGTCTCAAAAGAAAAAGAGAGAGGGAGAAAGGAAGAGAGAGAGAGGAGAGAAGAGGAGAGAAGAGGAGAAG